TGCAGTCCACCAGCACAGTATATGGCAGAATGCATATAGGTTTTCAGTATTTCCCTCATATATGGAAAAAACACCTCCGTCATCCCTGTCCTTCATATACTACATAGGAGATGTGCCATTTGCTGATTTTTATTTTTTTTTCATGTCTTGCCCCTCAAAAAAGTAAAGAACAGCTACCACATTCCCAAAGCATTAAAGTTCCCATGCCAATTTGTATGGGAAATATTCAACTGCATTTGACATCAGGTTTACTAAATTCAGTGATATACTGGTTTTCTTCCTATAGATTTTTATCTTGTTGATTTCTTATTTTGTACACCAGAAAATGTCTGCTCTGGTATATTCTTGCATAGCTTTTCTTTGTGATTATGCTTAAGAGGGGCAGTCAGTTTAATCTTGCAATCAGAAGGCTTTGTCCTTCTCACAGCGTGTTCTTGATTAATGTAAACTAATAATTACATGCACTAGCGCATGCAGAATTGTAACAACACAAGTGATTGATTGGCCTGCAGTTTGACAAACTTTTCTCAGACTTGAGACTGACTTTCTCAGACTTGAGACAGACTTGAGCAACAAAAAAATTGCATTTCAAAGTGCTTATCTCACCAAAATTCTTAATTTTATTTTGGTTCAATTACAGCAATGAAGCTTAGTAGTACTGTCATTGAAGAAACATTAATGATCATAGTTCAGTGTTTTTCAAGGACATAGGTCTTTTTTTTCTGGTTTCTGAAGGTGGAAGATGAAAATTCTCAAGCACACTAAATCTTTTAAGTACACTGCATTCTCATTAATAATAAAATATGGCCATCAAGAGTGCCAAGCACATATCTGGGAAAGGAGAATTGCTGTTATTACAAATGTGGAAAGTAAAGCATGGACGGAGGCTGTGGTGGTGTTGTGTGTGTGTGTATTTATTTATTTTTTTTTTTTTGAGATACATATATATTTGTTGTTGTTCTTCATACTTCTCACAGACAGACACAAAATCAAGATATGTTGTACGCGTGTTTTGGACTTCTGCTGTTGGATCAACTTGTCCCTCAAGAACTTGATCTCTTGTTGGAGCAAAGATGAAATACTGTTGAGTTAAGGCCAAGTCTGAGTAATGTTATCAGAAGAGCTATACTATCTTACTTTCTTTTAGGTTGTATGCCTTTTGCTGCACTTAATGAAAAGAAGTGGATATTGAAATCTTATTTTCTGAAACAAAACTAGGAAGTTGTAAGCTACAGTGAGTGAACAGCTGAATAATTGCTGATAGTGTGGTGAATTATGATACTAGTTCACCATGCATATGCTTTTAATGTGCCTTAAGTGGCACAAAGTGAAAGAGGACACGTTCTCATTTCAAACAGAGCTGGTTTATGTGAAAACTACTCATGTGAATGAGAAATGTCTAAAGGAAATGATTGCAGCATGTGAGAGGACTAAGTTCATAGCATGCCATGTAGTGCCCTAGCTTTCCCTTGTAGATGGAACCTCAGGAAAGTAACCAAGAAACTTCAGTAATATTATTGTTCCGATTAGTAAATAAAAAGATATTGCCAAATTAAACATATTTGGATTGATCTCATGCTAGTTGTAGTTATTGATATCTTAGCAGAGTGAATATTATGTGAATCCAGTTTTGATTTCTGTAACGATATTTTCTTGATTATATTTTGCAGATCGGCTGCTGCGCTTGCAAATACTAGGAGTCTGTGGCATAATCATTTCTTAGGTTTTTTCTTCTGATTATTGACCTGGTCCTCCAAACTATTGAATACTTGGGAACCTTTCTTTTGCAATAATTCTAGTGAAGTTAAAGGAGTAAAAAATGTAAAAAAAAAAAAAAAAAAATTGGCTTGAAATATTTTTTAATTATGAAATCAGCATAATCAGTGCCATAGCCAATAAAATTTGCAGGACTGCTTTTACTCATGAAACTCTTAAATTACCTTACTGTGTAGCAATTGTGGGAGTCTGGTGTGGGTACTGGCACAACACTGCTGACTTTGGAAGTCTTAATATCATGCAGGTAAAAGCAGAATTTATGATTAATAAGGGATGAGGTAACAGGAAAGTTTACTGTTGATATTATTAACAGGACTAAAAAAAATTGTGGGTGTTAGGATGTTTGTTTGTTTAAAAAAAAAAAAAAAGAAAGAAAGAAAAAGGAAAAAAAAAAAAGAAAGCACTATTTCTTTTTACTACTTGCCCTTCTTTCATAGCACCCCTCCAGAATATAAATTACATGAAGATTATCCAAAGATATGAAATGAAAATACTTGAATCCTATTTTTCCAGCTTAGAAGAATTGATACATGCATGCAAACAAATGGGACTATGAAGGAAGAAAGGTAGATTTTTAAGGAATGTTACCTTGTTAGTCTTGCTTTTGTTTGACAAGTCCGCAAGTAGCACAGCATCTTTATGGAATAAAATTATGTCCTTGAAAAGGAAAAATATAAGACTCCCATTAACAGCCACTTGACCAGATAATAGTAGTGTGTCTAACATGCTCAGTAAACCAAAAGCTTAGAAGTGTATGGAAAAAAAAATGATAATGGAATATTTAAATTGCTTCAATGTGAATTAGGTAAGCATCGAGTCAGACTGTGATCTGAACATTAAGCTTTTAGGTGCTGTCAGAGTGTCTTAAGGAAAAGCAGTTGAAATAACCTGGGAAGATCATGTAGCATACCTTATTTGTTGTATTAAGAGTCCTTTAACAGTGATCATGATATATTTATGTTTGGCATCATCTATCTGAATGAGAAAGCCATGTATATTGTGCTTAATTTCAAAAAAGAGAAGTGGCAGATAATGAAGGGTGCTTCATTAGAAAAAGTCAGCTGAAAAGAGTTAAATTTTCCAGGAGATGTGGAAATTATAATAGATTCAAAAATTGTGTGAACAGAAATTTAAGGAGGACTGAAAGGAAGCTACAAGGACTAAACTGTGGAGAGAGAGAGAGAAAGAAAAAGGAAGGAAGGTTATTAGAATCAAGGGGAAAAGTATTAGATATAATTGGGTTTAAAAAAGTGGTTCAGGTGACTTAAATAGTTCAGTGCAGTTATGCAAGTAAATAAAAAGGTTTTAACTTGCAAACAGCAGAAAAACTGTCAAGTTCTTTTAATGTATAACAAAAAGCAGATTCAGTTTGTTCATCTATTTATGGGAATATACAGGAGTGTATGCGATGGAGGAATGGAGGAATTACCCATTAGAAACTCCTCTGTGGGTTTGGCACAGGAGCTGTTGTTGGAAGGACAGTAACTGGGGCAAATGGAAGGAACAAACATAGAGTTAGACAGTGCTCAAGAGTTCCAAAAGACTCAATATGAAATAGCAAAACTTGGAGTGGAGTTTAAAATCTCTTTCACAAAATCCTTCTGGTGTTGTAAAACAAATAAGTACATGATGTAGCTAATGCTTAAAAGTTTCAAGACAAATCCAGGAAGTTGGGACTAGTAAGTCTGAAGCCTGGATTGAATGACATAGAAGAAAATATTCTAATATGGAGAATCTGTGAATACGTAAATGTGTGGTATCTAGGATAACTTGGGCCTTTTTTAAGGTTTGGTCATGACTCTACAGCATTCCTCTTAAGAGTTCTCTGGAAGAGAACAACTGTGTGAATGTGACATAACAGTTATTACAAGGTACTTGGATTTCCAAAAGATACTGATATAATTTCTTAATTAGTGGCGTTAAGGAGACTAAATTGTCCTATGAGACTTTTGCATGGACAGGCAATTTACTGAACTGAAAGAAAGGAGAGCTTAAATGACCAGTCTTCATAGGAGAGTTGATGAACAATGGCACTCCTCAATACAAACAAATACACCTTTTCATGCAAACCAAACCATGAATTGTATAGAACAATGATGAAGCTTTTCCACGATAAATACTTCAGTAGAATAAAAAATGATGTCTGATTAAAGAAATGCAGAATGAAGATCTTAGGATACTCAATTACTAGTCAGTAAAGTAGCTGATAGTATTAAATGCTTGTTAATATTAAGTGATATGCACTGCTAAAATAAACGCAGATTGTATATATGCATGATGGACTTTGAGAACTTAAAATTCAGGACTGATATCTAGGAGATATGACAGATAATTCCATCTAACTGCTGCCTGAGTGCTTAGTACAGACCAGCGAAGTCAATCATATTTTAGTAATTTTTAGGAAAGAAATAAAGAATGCATTCAGAAACTCCATCTTTCCGTTTGCCACTTGAGGACATAAGTAGATTTTGAATATTGCATGGCATTTTGGTCCCAAACACTCTTGAGATTTAAGACTATTAAATATTTTACTGATATTTTATTAGTTGCTCTTTTCCATATGTGTAGGTATATTTATGCTTCATATCTACTTGCCTGGCTAATTTTTATTGTCTACAGATTAAATGTTAACTGATCTGAAATTTAATATTAAAATAAATGCTGTTAGTGTTAATTTTTGAAATCTCTTATATGCTGGTATTTTTAGGAATGCTTCTATACATGTCTTTGTATATGCATTCCTATTTGATGTATCTTCATGTTAACTATAATATTTTGCAGATGCTAATGTTATCTTTAATTCTTTTTTTTTATTATTATTTTCTAGTGTACTTAGCAATGAATAGTTACTTAAACAGGAAAATAGAGAAAAGCTACTTAACCTGTTTTTTGTTATGCTCCGGTATTTCTTGCTGTGCATTCTATATCCAACCTTTGTGTCCTTCTTTTTCTCCTTTTTGCTTTCAGTAAACTATGGGTCAGCCAGAAATCTTTGTAGCTTTTAAATAATGATTTGTTCACAGTTTTAAGCTGAGAAGACACCTCCTGTTTGACTCCTGCTCACAGTGTTGAATGCAGAATGGAGGGGCTGTCTCTAAACAACAACAACAACAAAAAAGCCTCTTAAAAGGAATGGGGTCAGGGAAAGAGGCAACAAAACCAATTTTTATATGTTTACTTATTAAGTGTATAAAAACCCTCATATGTTCTGTTTTTCTCTGAAGGGCCCCTCTTGCTGGGATGATGTGCTGATTCCAAACAGAATAACAGGTGTTTGCCAGTCCCCAAAGTGCAGTGGAAACGTAGCGGTAAGATAGTCACATTTTCCCCAACTACTTTGGCATTTATGAGAATAATAATTTGTAGTAATTCTACCGTTATTAGAATTGTGGAAGTTAATGTAAATTGACTTGTAGGATGTGCTTTAGATGAGGTGTAGCATTGGATAACATCTTCAGTTTTTAGCAAGCAGATGAACTTCATCAGTTGCTGCTTGGGAAGGAGGAAGTTGTTTTATGTGTTTATTGCTTTTAGGGGAGTTCTTAAATACTCAAGTATGCGTACCTTAAATGCAGAATTTAATGCTCTTAAAGTATTTACGCTGATGCTTGCTTCATGATTTTGGGAATACGTTAATGCTCTCAAAGCTTCAAATTGGTGTCATCTTATAAATCAGATTTTTCATATTAGAGATTTTCAAATATTTTAGCAGAAGTTGATTCTTCACGCTGCTGGTTACTTTACCTATTCTGCCAGATCTTCATCTTTGCTTGTTCAGTTTGTTTCTTGGAGTGACATCAATGAAAAGCCTGAGTAAGAAAGAGTGTAGGCATCTCAATTGCTTAAAATAGAAAAGGAGAAGTAAGGTTTCCCTTTAAATACATGTATTTGGATATTTTTGATTTTCAGATATACTTCAACAGTATTTAATACTACAGAGCTCTTAGAAGCACTTTTTTTTTCAGGAAGAAACGTCACTTGATTTGCTATTTCTGGATTCTGCTTTCAAAGACAAACACATAACTTTGTACTTTTGAAAGGATTCTGTTCCTTGAAGCTTTTCCAGACTGGGACATCACAAATGCATCTCTCTAGAGGCACTTACTGTTTCTGGTGTAGTCTTCTCTTTGTCTTCCCTTTATCAAACCAGTAAATACATGAATGCTTTACTGATAGAGAGTTGAAATTTGTTAGCAAAAACCACTTATGAAGAAATTACATCATCTGAGCCCTGAGGTCATTCTTCTGCTGAACCTGAGAGTTATCAGGAAACTCATTGGAAAATGGTGAAATCTTGTTTTGTAGGTGAATAGCCATTTTTTTCCATCGCACAGGAATGTAATTCTACCTTTTGATGTCACAAAATGCTGTAAAGCTTAAGTATTGGTTTCACATGTCATTAGGGCCCTTTTACTGAGCTGAGAGGCAGGATCACCTCCTTCACCCTACTGGCCATGCTTCTTTTGATGCGGTTTGCTGGGCTGCAGGGGCCAGCATTATATGTTTTGAACGTTGCTGTTGAGATTCTCATAGCTTTCTAAACATTTTGTCCACCTTCAACATCGTCTGCAGGTGATTATGGAGAGTTTTAAAGGGAGTGAAATTCATAATGTTGCAAACCCTCTGAGTTCCAGTAAAATATTTAGTGTAAGGGTTCTTTTTCTCTTTCTGGAATTTGTGCTAGAAAGTCTGTGTTTGGGAAAGGCTAGAGCATTGATAAGGCCACAGTATTTGTAATGCCCATGGGAAACATCTGTACAGCATGGGTGAGGTCGGGTGTTGTCTACCAATTATAATAATTTTGTAAAGTTGCGAAGTAAGAGTTACATCTTTGTTGGTAGGGCTGGCTGGGAGGGCTTTAAACTAGTTGACAGGGCTTTAAACTGGTTATGAAGGTGGATGTGGTTAAGACCAGGTCCACTGGAGTTAAGCCCAGGGGAATGATGACAAGAGTGGGAGTGACACCAGGGGCTTAGGTGTAGTGCATCTTCACCAATGCATGCAGCACACATGATGTGCCACAAACAGTAGGAGCCAGAAGCGATGGTGTGGTAGGCAGACTGTGACTTAGTTGCCATTATGGAAACACAGTGGGATTGCTCCATGACTGGAGTGCTGCAGTGGGTGGCTATAAGCTCTTCAGAAGGGATAGTCTAGAAAAGAGGGATGGTGGCACGGCTTCTGTGTTAGTGTTTTGATATTGTTAAGTTCGGGGTTGGGAATGTTAAGGTTAAATCTCTATGGGTAAGGATCGGGGGAAGGACCAGAAAGGTGGATATCCTGGTGGAAGTATTTTATAGATTGCCTAAACCAGAATGAAGAGACAGATGAGGCATTATATGAGCAGCTGGCAAAAGCTGCATGATCGCCAGTCCTTGTTCTCATGGGGCATTTCAGCTTTACTGATATATGCTAAAAATACAGCACAGAAGAATGAGTCTAGGGGGCTTCTGCAGTGTGTGGAAGATCACTTCCATTGAGACAGAGTGATGCATAATGTCATTCATATGTCATCAGTGCTAACTAAGGAAGTGATGCATTGTGCTTGGTTGTGTTGAAACGGGTGAATTTATTAAAAGATTCAACAAGAATGTTTCCTGTACATCTTCTGTTCCTCTAATTATTCTTTGAAAGCCTCAGTCCTTTCTAATTACTGCCACCCTGAACAGAATACTGTAAGTATGGCTCTGGTTTCTTCTTCCTGTATGTATTGCTCTTGTTTCTTAAGCTGCAACTGTATTTTTCCTGTTCTAAAAATGCATTTTCTGTGATCTTTATCTCTACTGAGCAAGCTTTTGGTGTGGGCTCTTCAGTAACTTGTTCATTTCATTATTTTTCTCTTCCCCAGACTTTTTGCCTCCTTTAGAGATTGTGAGCTATTACTTTTTATTGCAGAAAATTAATAACTATTTTGCATATCAAAGGGCTAAGTGGTGATCACTGAAATACCAGTTTGGAAAGTACAATTTGATTAATCAGTGTGGGAAATAATATTTTGAAACATATCAGTTAAATCCATCTAACATCAATTTTAGTGTGTTAGTCTCTTAATCAAAATGTCAATTATATATAAAATGCCACAGAGAAAGCTGTGTAGATAATTTATTTCATTAAACTTGTAATCACGTAAAAATATCAGGTTATTCCGATGGTATCTAGTTACCATAAGTCATTGTTGGTTGACATTAATTGCACATTCTTCCTTTATTTATCAAGTACCATATGTATCTAGGGCTGATGTCAAGCTTACATGCCTGTAATTACCTAGTTTGCCTCATATAATACTGCCCTAGATTATGATTTTATATGCTTTTCTAAAATTGTCTTGATAAAACAATCTCTAAAGGTTGTTCTGTTCAAATTTCACCACCAGTGTGTTCAGTAAGGCAGTGTGTGCATGAAGAGGACGAGGGGGAAGAGTTACAACAAAGAAAACAGCACAGACTTCAGAGTAATCTACAAAAGTATTGTAATTAAGTTACAGTATTTGTGTGTGTGTGTGTGTGTGTGTGAGGTCTTTAAATGAATGTCCTCAACAGCAATTAAAGGTGAAAGTACTCATTTTGGACAAGTGAATGGTGAAGGAACAAGGCATTTGACTTTTTTAGTATTTGAAGGCCTGCTATGTGTTTTGGAGTTCTTTGCATTGTAGTTGTAGATTATTTTGTCATTTTTCTTAACTTTTCTGTTTCATATTTGGAAAACTATAATTAGATCATTGTTTCATAGATATTCTCAGAGTAACCTTATTCTGGAGTCAATCAATTTTTGGTTATTAAAAGAAAAAAATCTGTTACTTCACTTCTTACAGCAGAAAAATCAATGATTAGTAAAAAGAACTAACTTTATAATTCATTTTTTTTTTCTATACCAAGACAGAAAAACTGAATTATTTATCTTGGAGAGAGAGCTTACAGTGATTTTTACTATTAAGATCTATCCTTGTTGTTTTTGTTTTGGTTCTTGTTTTAGGTTTTTTTGTGTGTGTGTTTTGTTTTTTTGTTTTTTTTTTTTATAACATGCACTCTTTTCCAATGTAGAAATATAGCATTTTCACGGTATATTTTGGATATGTTTTATGCCCAAAAGCAAGTGTCAGAGCCCACCATTAGCAAATATACCAAGTGTGGTTTAGATCATTTAGTTACATATTGCACAGGTTACTTCTTTGATGAAGTATTTTTTAAGATATATTTTTTGACCAATGCATAATTTTTGAGACTATAAAAAATGTAAAACAAATCAAGCTGAGTCCTTGGATCTATTCTTCAGTTTTCTCTTATCACCAACGCAGTAATAAGAGTTCCTGATCATTTTTGTCAGCTGAATCTGTATAGACCTTTTGGAAAACACAGAGGAACTTGTACAGTTATATTCTGCATTGGATGGTTTTGGGAAGTTTACATCTCCTGTATTGCCACCACTTCTACTTACATGCAAGGAAACGTTACAGTTTTGTAAAAGATCAAATAAAATATTTTGAAGATTACAATGCCTTCTTCAAACAAATTCTCTGCCCTTTGATGTTCTCCTTAAGTGGTTAACACTGCTTCCGAAAGAAAAAAGAAATCCTTTGTTGCTCATTATTTTTTGCATCTGTCTTTCAATTCCAGAAAGCCTGATTTGAAAACATGGATATTAATCGTGCTTTCAGAGGTTTTGTTTTGGTTTTTTTTTTTTCTGGTGTCTTACTTTGTCTTCTGTGAACAATTACTTTGCATCATTCCCAACTACCAGGTTTTGCTTTGAAATTGCATTTAGAAAGTAAGCAGTTCTTTTGAGCACAACTTCACAGCTCCTTCAGTAATAGTTTTTCAAAACTTTTCAGATACTGTCAATGCCTCAGCATTTGAGAGGCATTTTCAATTGAGCTGAGGATCTGTCCTGTTAGAGGAATCATTAAAAGTTTTTTGTAAGACTCAGCTCTGATTAACAAGTTTTCAGCTTTTCTTTTGTGATGCTTCTAGATTTACTGAAAGAGCACTTAAATGATCTTTTGTAAGATACTGGTATATTCTGCAAGGTAGTCAACATCCCAGGTGCAACATTAAGGAATACGAGCAGATCATAGTTAGTTTTGATGCAGCAAAATCCTGTATCACTCAGTCCATCTGGTTTCCTCGACTATTCTGAAAGAGATTGATGGTATCAGCAAGCCAAAGAAAAATGAAAGTTCACCTTTAAAGTTTCTGAGATTCCATCTCTTTTAGGAAGTCTGAGAAGCATGTTGATGATGCTTTGCAGTGAGGAACAACTTTGTATCCATTCTGTATTAGCTGTCATAAAAACTTAACAACAATAACATTGC